ACATAAACAAAATGGCCAGTTATCGATTTTACGGAACAACGCTCGCCAGTCAGCAAAAAAAGAAATACAAATGTCGCACGCACGCGCTCTGCGTTGCTGGCAATTGATTCACCAAAGCGCAGCTTTTCAAAAGGCCTTCGCCGATCTCGGCTCGGGTACAAAACGAAATAAACGAATTTGATGAGTCCGAGGATGATCAATAAATTATTATTTGTAATGAGGTATAATCTGTACATCAGGTTGTAGTGTCTAAGACTCGGATCATAATTCCTTTATACCATAACATAAAAGATACCGAAAGAAATCTTTCGAGAAAAACGCCAATTTGAAGAAAAACTTAAAAAAAAAGTAAGTTTGATACGCCACTGAAATGCACCACGCCAGTGATGATCAGAAATATTTTAGAAACACGGCGACAGTAATTGTGCACAATTTTGCTCCAAGATTTTTTTCTGTATTTTGTATGATAAAGAAATTATGGTCCGAGGGGTCTTAGATGAGACCCTGTGATGTATATGGATAAATACATTTTCAACATTATTAAATTAAAATTAATGTCAGTCTAATTCGATAATAACATTGACCAATGATAGTCAATGATAATAATAAATAACAAGTTTTTATTCTACTTTTTGCTAACTGACGGTCCTTGTCAGAAAATAGAACCATTGTTGTTTATGTTTGATATAACATTTAATACCGTCAAAAAATTGTACAGAATTTACTTCTTGTACATACGTTTCCAAGGGGCCAAAATAAAATTTTTCATATGCGCCACGGGCCACAGTTGAAAATCCAAATAAAAAGCATGTTAAAGAAATCAATAATTATCTATTTCTTTTACGTTGCGGTCGACAGCTCCGTGTGCCTCGATGCGTACCTGAGACGCCTGTTGCTAAGTTTCGTGTGACTGACCGCAGTAGGTTGTGTACACAACCACTGCAATGCCCTATACAAAAACTAGACATAGTAAATTTAGAGACTTTTTAGGCTCGGCTCTTCGTCTATTATATACTGTGACAGACAAGATTAATACTTTTTTGGAAATCTTATGAATTAACTATGTGTTCAATTCTTTTATGGCCGTTTGCACCGACAAATTTAAGTGGAGCTTAGCTTAAGCGTAGCTTAAAATCCATGACAATGATTATTGAGACAATGGATTTTCAGCAACTCTTAACCTAAGGCTCCACTTAACATTGTCGGTGCAAACGGGCATTAGTAACACTTTTCGACTTAAATCAATTTTCAATGAACTTTATGTCTAGCTCTAGTATAATGATAAGTGCAGCTTAGTAGTTCAGTCAGTAGAGATTTTTGTTCTACAAAAGCTGGGTGTAGTAGTAATTTTTTAATGTTACTCACGTCTGTTGCTAGGGATAGAAACAATGTTTTCGACTTTGGAGGAAGACCGCTCGCGCTGTCATCTTGGATGAAAGGTACAAAAAATACTTTCGGCTCGGCCAATGAGATGTACCTAGGTAGATTTCTTTAACCGCATTAACATACAAAAGTGTCCGCCATTTTTTTTCAATATGGTGGAATTTTGCTAATTCACGCACTTAACCGAGATATTGACGCGTTACACCAACTTTTTTTTGGTCGAAATCGGTTCATAATGACGAAAGTTTCTTGGAAGTGATCTTTGTAAACCTATAAATATAGTGGTACCATTACAATAGGCAGAGAGAAATCTACCTAAAATAGGTCAAAAAATCCTCTCATTTTCTGACAAATTCCTAAACACAAAGTACCTACTAGATTTTTAAACGGTTGATTAATGAGTAACGTTGCTGTTGACAACATGCGAAAAACCGTCAACAGTGAAAAAAAGTATTTCGCGCACGTGTCAAAGTTGAACCTGAATAGCAAATTGAACTTCGCGCGCTTTTTATATAAATAACTATTTCAAAACAACTCCGTAGCGGTTGATCTTGCGAAAACAAGGTGCAAATAAAAGCACAAAATTACTCATTTTTTGTAATACACTTATTTTGTACTTCTAATAAAGGGCGATCAAAAATGAGTTCCTGTCGAGTCGTCTTTGGAAGTTCAAGTCAAATCCGATTTCCGGTGTAAACAAAAATTCCAAAAGTGACTGGACAGCAACTCATTTTTGATCGCATAGTATGCTAGGAGTTATACCTATCTGCAGAAATATCGATATTTTTCTCCAAAAAATTGCAAAATTCCCAATTATAGAGATTTATTTTAAATGTTTCTCGCTATTTATTATAGTTATAACAATGTTGTAAATTCAAAGTGTATTCATTCCCACACCACCTTGAGGTACAAAATGTGGTGCGTTTACTTTGTTGTGATATCGCTGAAAAACCTAATCCATAACGTCGTGAAATTACGCTTGAACCACGCGATTATACAAATACCTATTATCATTTATCAGCGTTTTCCTTTCTTTAATAGTCCTGGCCAGTTTATGTTGACATCTTGATTGATGCTTCTGATAATGCATTGTTCTTCCACTGCTAAGTCTTCGTAATCTTCATCCTCACTATCGAGTCGAGCCACATTTTCGCATGACGGACCACTTCAGAAGCCGCACATAACTACCATCTCAACTCAGACTTCCTGCAACCACAATACATGACATCAATTTAAGTAAATTGGCTGGTGCTGGTTGCTCTATCATTGAGAGTGGAACAAGCCCATTGCTACCAAGTTTCCAGTCCCAGTCTTCGTGTTTTTTTTTCGATTCCATACCAGATGTGAGTTGGTGGTATGTCTCGAACGCATGATACCGCAAATTGTCTTTCGTTGGTGGCAAAGACGAAGCAAGATTGAATTTAATTTTTGCTGACGATTGGGCGAAACGATGGTGGCGGACTTCTATGAAGGTGTTCTCTTCCATGTCCTGCTATTTTCTAGAGTATCAAACAAAATTTTATTTTTCCTTGGTCGAAGGTCGACGATGTCGTGCCGCATGGAGAAAATGTTCTCAACCACTTCTTCATAAACTATTAGCGGAAAATAATCTTTCAGCGTTTCTGCCTCTTCGTGGTTTGCGAAAGTAGATGTTACATTGAGATGCTGCTAGTTCTGACAGCAAAACAAGCAGATAAGTCTGTTAAGCACAAGTAAATCGCTGTCCTGATAATCAGCACATAAGCATCTTCTTCCGCTTGTTCAACACATTCTGTTCCATTTTCAGCATCCAAATTAGACGGTCTATATTGTGGTTTGGGAAAAACATAAAAAAAGTAAAATTACCGTCGAAAACAGGGAGTTTTCCAAAAACGTTTATTGCAAAAAATTTGAGAAATTATGTCTTCTTTAACTTTCATGTCAACCCTTTTTTCGTAAGATCAACCACTGCGGAGTTATTTGGGAAAAAACAATTTTTTGTACCTTTCATCCAAGTTGGCCGCGCAAGCGGTCTTCCTCTAAGGTCGAAGACATGGTTTTTTACCCAGATGTCAACAACATATTAAACATTACTGCTACATCACCTTTTGAAAGGCAAAGGCCTTATTTGTCGGCTCCTGCTGACTTGAAAGTACTAATATCTCCAGTGGAAAGGTCTAGTGACTGGGATTTCAAAGACTTTTTTTTCGTAAAGTATGTACACTATCTTTCAACGAAAACACTGCATCCCTATCAAATAAAAGGTCATTGTTACTTTGAACCGAAATTTCAAATGTAATCAATGCGCCGACGCCAATTTAATCGATTGTTTGACTTGAATTTTAATTTCAATTCTTTAGTAGGTATAAACGTTCTAATTATTAAAATTTGTCATAATGCCGTTGGATTAGTCGCTATTGTTTAAGCACACGTATAAAAAGATCAACATTAATTTCTGTGTTGAAAATTGCAGTTGAAGGAATGCCAAATCGAACATAATTTTAGTATTACCTACCCACTTTGGAGATATCTTTCGTTATTGAATCTAAACTAACTTAAAAGCTTTTTGCTATGGGTCTATTAAACGCGAAATCTTTTCTACTAACGTTATTATTTCATTTTTGAGAATAATTATACAAACAACGGATACATACATGCAATCTACTAATTTTGACTAAAATCTCTAAAGTAATTTCATATCCGCATTTCATTTTGGCAACATCGGATCAATTATTTGGAATCCACCCCTTTTGCATATTTGTTTTCCTGAGTTTGCGTCATTATCGTATAGTTTGACACAATTCCCGAAGAGGGCCACAGCAGTTACGGCGCCTAGCGTCGCGACGGCGTATCAAAGAACTCGTAAGATATACCGTATTGACCGGCAGTCCACTCCCATATTCTTTATAGAATTTTATATACGATTATTGTTTTATGCAATTAGCAACATTGATGCTTACAGAAAATGGTGTGCAAATACTACCCTACTTGTTGAACATTTAAAGCTCTTTCATTTTGCATGTGAGTAAACTAATGTGCGGGAAAGGTGCGTTACGTGAATTAAATTTGTAAAAAAGGCACTACAATGCAATCGATATAATTTGTACAGATATTCTTACATCTAGCAACTACGGTCTAATGTATAATAAATATAGAACCACCCTATAACACCTGTATTTACTGTGGGCGTTAACTACAATTCATTAACTAAGAAATACTTCTAATATAATTGCCAACAGTGAACAGTAAATCACTAAATTAAGCTACATGCTTTCGAAACAGACACTTATATGTAAACGCCATGGAGAGTTGATGTAAACGAACAATGGAAAAAAGTCCTGCCGTCCAACAACACCTACCGACACTCACATACATTTTTGAGAAGATAAAGGTTAGGCTATGGTCATGTCCCGAGGCAGCAGTATCTCGAACCAGTACTGCTGTGACAGGACAATATCACAGCCAAACCGAGACATAACGGCGACTCGCGGCACGGGCACTGACTGTGTCGAGGGGGAGTTGAGCTACCCCTTGCTCAACCGCCGCCATGGTAACGTCTGCGCCGCCGCCGGCCGCACCCCACATCACTAATGTATATCTACACATGAAGGGGAAAGCTATTGATCGTACTCTCTTACCTTATGGACATACGGCTGTCTCAAAACTTGTGGATAACGATCTTCTCTTTGTCCCTTGTACCTGAAACATATACTCGATATACTAATTGCAGATTTGAGCAAATATCTCTATTATTGTCGATTTAGATTAATCCGCAGACCGATCGCCATTCGTGACCTCAAGTTAATCCGCTCCGAAATCCTAGCGTACATCAGACACGAAGCTGTATAAATGTAGCCTAGCTGCAATTGGTTCGGAAGCTTTCGATTGCTCATTATTAACGTAAACCAACCTAGTTTTAATGTGTATGTACCTATAGTAATGAAATATTGTAATCACACAACTTTGAGAAGGGACCTATTGGCAAAGTCTTTTTGTTAGCGGTTAGCCCATATTAACTTTTTCCTACATTTGAAGTACAAAACGGGTTTACAAAATGTGCATTTTTTGCCAGCTTGCGGTTTCCTAAGCGAAGTTTGTAAAGTATTTGCAGTTGTTTTATCTTTCGGCATACCGTCGTCGGCTCACAATCGATTTTCATTGTGGCGAATTTTACTGGCATTCATTTGAATAGGAAGTGTTTCCCTTTCCGCATCAGTCGGTCATGTCGGATTTTTTTCCCTGATTGAATTCCTGATCGCTCCATATGTCTGAGCGTGCCTGCGCTTATAAGATACGGAAGTCATTGTCAGGGTTCCTATCTTTCAAATTTAAAAATGACTACACACTACAACTCATTTGCCTTACATATAATGATATTAACATACAACGATGCAGCATGTGTAGCGCCTGTACAGACTGTTCAAAGATCAACATTTGTTTTTTTTAGATATTGAACGTAACGACAAGAAACTTTCGGAAGTATGAATGCTTAGTGAACTTTTTTTACCAAATCCACATAGGTTCAACTAATATAGTAATTGCAGTAAGAAATCTGCAATATTATAATATTTGTCAATGCCAAAGTAAAATGCTGCTTATATTAACCGCGTTATTAATATTATTAAAGTTTGGATGTCACACGGCACACCTTTATTTGCATACCCGCGGGTGCTAAAAAATCGACGGGACCTAACAACAATATTAAATATTATTAAGACGGAATTGTAGTAAATACAGTTGAATTGACAAAATTCAGAACTTAAGTTAGTACCAATTAGTACAATCGGATTTAAGACCCGGTTATTTGTGTGAGAAAATAATTTTGATGTAACGCTCATCATTACTGTTAAATGAAATTTTAAAAATTTGCTGGGGCTAGCGCAGATAGCACCTGCGTATGCGCGTTGGTCCCAAAGAATTTTCAACTCTTTCTTTATGTATAATATGTGTACCGAATTTGGTTCCAATCGGTTCAGTCGTTTAGCCGGAAATGAGTACAGACGGACCGACTGACCGATATCATCGAGAGTTTGTTTGGTTGTATTGTATTTCCGTCAAAAAACTTTTGCGCAGAAATTGCCGTAGGTATTTCTTGTACCCTGGACAAACACAAGTTCTTGTCCAATTTCTTGGACAAGAAACTCTTTGCTGTATTACACTACAATTTTTCTTGTATCAGAAACGATATTAGAAAAGATACAAGAAAATCCATAGTGCTATATACAGCAATGTTTTATGGTAACTAGCGCGACTCCGCAGGCTACGCCTGCTCGTCTTGCCAAGTTGTCTTCTAATTACATAGATAACTGGTTATACATTTTAGCACTCACAATATTAGACGGTGAAGGTTGTATCAACATGGAATTATATGCACAGTACTCATGTAAAGTAAAAATTGCTTGTGGCACTAAATGCTTCAACGGTTGCGTGAAAGTAGTAGGTATTTAGGTACACTGCACGAACATTCATGCATCAATAATTGCTCAGACGCATTATAAACAAATTTGTTGATTTAACGTAGAGAAGCTAAATATAAATTAATTTCGTAAATTGCTCTTAAAACCCCTCAAGATGTATTATAAATGTTTCTTTTCATAAAATCTAAACAAAATAAAAGTAATCTGGTAGGTGTCTATACAAATTTGCATGGACAGCAGATTATGGGCTGGATTAGCTCATGAGAATGTAATGTAGGCTATTACCGGTTTAATATTTTAAACTTCTTTCTACAAAAAATAGACAAAATTTACTTCAAAAGACGCTATACAAAAAGGCTTGTGAATTAAAGTTTGTAGATATGTCAATCAAAGTGTCCTGCAGTTTTTCCGACGAAATTTATTAATGAATGAAGATTTTGCTCTACCACTTAACCTCGAATTTAATCAAAGTGAAGTGGCATAAAATTTAGTTTCTTCCCATGAAGTCAAAACGCCCTGTCCATTTTTTCCGACGAAATTAATGAATGAATGAAGATTTTGCTCTACCACGTAACCTCAAATTTAATCAAAGTGATATGGTATAAAATTTAGTTCCTTTAGTTCCTCTCCATGAAATCAAAATGTTATGTCGTTTTTACCACGAAATTTGTGAACAAATGAAAATTTTGCTCTTCCACTTAACCTCCAATTTAATCAAAGAAAAATGCCATAAAATTTAGTTCCCTCCCATGTAATCAAAGTGCCTTGCCGATTTTCTCAATTTTCTCAATGGGTTGATTGGAAGAGCAGGAAGTAATAACATTTTTATTACAACCTGAACTCCGCCCTTTGAGTAGATCGTCACGTAGAAGGATATCTCAAAAAATGGTGTAGGCCAATAAAGGCATTATTATTATGGTCGGTGTTTCTTGTGAGAACTCAGGTCTAGCTTAGTTAACTAATCGCACGGATTAAAATCAAGTAACGATTAGTGTGGTGAAGTTATGTAGGGTTCTAAAAAAAATATACAATAAAAATTACAATAGAAATTCACACACGCACATTGGAAATCTAGGGATAGTATGTAATTCATACTTACCAACATAGCTATTGATGGGCACAATAGCCAACGCTATCAGGAAAGAGGAAAACAAAACAAAATAAACAAAATCATTATAATAATTCCTGTAATTTTATTAAATAGAGTTTACTGTGTAAGTGTTTTTTTGGATTTGCGTTTAGGTTGAATACGAGCGGGTTGTGATAACGTGGTTTGTTTCTGAGAAGGAGTACCTATTGTGTTTTTTAACTGTGCTCGGGCCTGTAACTTTATTGGGTGAACCTGTCTGTAGTGCATGTTGCGTTACTTGTCTTTATGGTGTTTCTTTGTTCTTGAAGTTGTATTTGTGTTGTTGCTTGGGTTATTGATGGAGATATTATAGTATTTTTTATTATACCTGAATCACAATCTCCGTTTTAAACACTCAAATGCGTGCGAAAAAGGGCCTTTAAAACACACGTGCTTTAAAGTTGCTAAGTAACGATACTTCAAGTGACTTTTGAAACTGTCATCTGGATGAAATAAAAAATCCTCTTAGGTCGCTTTCTGTAAATGCAGAACATTTCTTTGGCTTTTGTACCTATCCTTTGGTTGAAGCTTTCACAAAGGCGCGTAATTTAGGGTATGCTTCCAAATCTGTTCCACTTTTTAATCGCAGCATTGCTTTAAAGTTTTGAATGAATGCACCAAAATATAGAAGATGTAAATACCTTTGACATTTCCTTCATATATGCTAGCATTATGGATGCATTTAAGACTGTATTCGTAAGTAAATTCCTATTCATCCATGGAAACAACTTTTCATATTCTTTATAATAGGCTTTACTGGAGTTGGATTTTACACCAACCAATGTTTGTTTAGATTTTACAACAATCGATTTAATGGGCGGTGTATTATCTTTTTCAACGGAAATCGTTTAATTCAAAAGACTATGATTTTTATAAGCAAACGTCAAGTGACATTTCCATGGCAATCGTGAAATTACGAACACCCAGCCCACTTAATTAGACATGTATTCGAGTATAACGTCAATATGATTTCATTGAATTTTCTATTTTTAAATTATACTGCAAGTATAATAAAAAATACTATAAGATACACGTGTATAATTGGTTTTTAAAGCACTTGCAACGTTAAAGGCACTCCGCTTTGCGTCGTGCCCTTAAACTCGTTGCGCGTGCTTTAAAGACTTGATTATACACTTGTATCTTAATATACTATTGTGAGCTAGTAGTGCTGTTTAGGTTTTTGCATTTGGATTGAGTAGGTACGAGTGGGTTGTGATAACGTGGTGTGTTTCTGTGAAGAAGGAGTTATGTGTTTTTTAACTGTGCTAGCGCGTGTAACTTTATTGGGTGGACCTGTCTTTGTAGTACATGTTGCGTTACTTGTATTTATGGTGTTTCTTGGTTCTTGAAGTTGTATTTGTGTGGTTGCTTGGGTTTTTGGTGGAGATATTGCAGTTATTATTATTATTATTATTTGTGAATAAATGAGGATGAATAAATGAAGATTTTGCTCTACCACTTAATCTCCAATTTAATCAAAGAGAAATAACCAACAATTTAGTTCCTTCCCATGACGTAAAAGTGTCCTGCCGTTTTTCCGACGAAATTTGTGAAAAAATGAAGATTTTGCTCTACCACTTAACCTCGAATTTAATCAAAGTGAAGTGGCATAAAATTTATCTTCTTCCCATGAAGTCAAAACGCCCTGCCGTTTTTTTACGACGAAATTTGTGAATGAATGATGATTTTGCTCTACCACTTAACCTCAAATTTAATCAGTGATATGGCATAAAATTTAGTTCCTTTAGTTCTCCCCATCAAATCAAAATGTTCCGTCGTTTTTCCCACGAAATTTGTGAACATCCTCCAATTTCAACAAAGAAAAATGCCATAAAATTTAGTTCCCTCCCATGAAATCAAAGTGCCTTGCCAATTTTTCCACGAAATTTGTGAATAAATGAGGATGAATAAATGATGATTTTGCTCTACCACTGAACCTCCAATTTAATCAAAGAAAAATAACAAACAATTTAGTTCCTTCCCATGAAATGAAAGTGTTCGGTCATTTCTTTGACAAAATTTGTGAACAAATGAAAATTTTGCTTTACCACTTAACCTCCAATTTACTCAAAGAAAACTGGCATAAAATTTAGTTCCCTCCAATGAAATCAAAATGTACTGCCGATTTTCCCACAAATTTTGTGAAAAAATGA